TCGGTATATCGTCGTGGGTTAGTAAATAGTGCGCGTGTTTCTTCCTCGACTGAGTTTTCAATCGACGAATAATTAATCGACACGGATTGATAATTATTAACTACTTAATACATTCGGTATTAAAGTCACCCAAGGAACACATTGTAGTCAAAATGACGTCACTTTGATGTCATAACGACATCACGATTTCATCACATTAGGAAAAGTCAAAATGATGATTTTTGGTTACAAAATTTGACTACATATTGACGTCAAGAAAACGTCTTATTAGTATAATATGCGGACCCATAGTAGGGTGGACCGATCAAGGCGAATCGGATCAATATAAGTTTTGAAACATTGTTGTCGTAAATTTTCTGTTTCAAATGAGCTATATTTTATCAATCAATTAGCATGATAAAACAAAAAATTTACATCGATAACAATGTTTCAAAACTTATATTGAGCCGATTCGTCCTGTGATCCAATTGTCTATCGGTCCATCCTATAGCGGATTTTTCCTCACTGTGCATTGTAAGAGTACTAAAACATCACATATACATTTAACACATTTATTAAATAATATGTATTAAACAATATTAATTATATAGTATTGAACATATTAATTATAAACATAATAATTATAAAAACATAAGTATAAGTATCATTAAACATAATTCTTCGTTGCAAAGATTTACAATAAAAGTTCATATTTTTATTGTATATAAAGGTTGAACATAAAAGTTTATATTTTTATTTTTTCCTGGACAAAGCATTATATTTATACAACTCGCTGAGCACTAGTGCTAAACCAGCGTTTCACGTAATCTTCGACCTTTTTTAAGTTTCTAGTTTTTCCAAATGTCTGCAAAATAGCCACTGGAAAAAAACATCATTATTTAATAAATTTTTTTTTAAATATAAAGTATTATTGAAGAGGGTACATTATAGATTTTAAAATATCTTAGTAATTACTCACCTTGAATAGCATCATATGTTTTGCTTTTGTTGAAAGCAATTTTAGTTTTTTGAGTACCTCCCCAACTAATAGCTCTTGAAAGAGAATTTGTAATAATTTTCGGAAGTACAGACTGCACAGCAGCAACTTCTGATTCCTTATTTTTCATTTTTGTTACGAAGACATCCACCTGTAACAATTTTACAAATGAATTAACATTATGATTTTAATGTCGTTGGAAAACAAGGCACAGTATAAAAAAATATAATTTTAGGTAACTAAAAATAAAGTAGACTGAGATATTTACCACATATGTTAATGCATCATCATCTGCTAGAATTTCTTCTTGTTTTTCCCAGTCCTCTTCTGTGCGCAAAGGAAATGTCGGGATTCCATGTGGTCGTTGCAATTTTATCTCCTCGGGAAATAGCTTCTTGATAATACGGTCTAATTTAACTTCCATATGTTCAAGCTTGGAACACATTTCTTCTTGAACTTTGAAGATATTTTCAAACATTTGCGACACAATAACTGTGCTTCCTGAAAACGATATTATAAACGTATTCACTTAATTTACTCTCATCTTGTAATATAAAATTTTTTGTGATATAAAAATGAAATGAATTGGATGTACTTACCGTCATTTCTTTTTCCCTTCTTGTGAGAGAAGTCGTCAGAATCTGGAAAAATATATTGTGTAACTTTCAGACAAATTGAATAGTTGAAAAACAAAATTATTTAACAATAAAACCTCATCTTCACCTGCTAAGGATGATTTTACGGTATCTGACTTGACTGAGCTCTCCCTGTCATCATACTGTGCAGACCTACGTTCTTCAAAGTTTTGCATATTATCATCACTACGTTCGTCATTGCTTTGGGAAATATTATCCTGTTTCTCTTGAAGTTCTAACTCATATTGTGTGGAGAAACACTTTGATGTTTGCGTCATCGGTTGCATTATTTCCGAACCGGAAGTCACATCTAAACGAAATAAAGAAAGAATAATTATAATTTGTACTGCCTAATTCACAGGTATTTCGAAGCTGATTGGAATGCTGTCATATTATCTTTTTGAACTCATTATATATTACGGATCATAAATTGTATGTGTAGATTAACTTTCTGAGTATAGATAATAACGGATAAAAAAAAAAGATCACACAGCTTGAAGAGAAAAAAGAGTAATCCAAGAAAGATATAAATTTATAAAAATACTCTAGCAAAATAGGAATAGCTTACCTTCATCAATTGGAGATTGAAACAAATTCTTGGAAACATTAACATCTGCACATTGGATGAGATCTGTATGAGGGAGATCAATAACATTTGAATTTTTTATATTTGCAGGATTCTTCGTATGACTGAGAAGAATTTCTATAACAATAATCAATTCTGAGACATTAATATAACTCATATAAATTTGTAAAAATAAAAACACAATATTAATTGTGTTTTTATTTTTACAAATTTATATTTATAATATAATTCGTATAAATATGTAAAAATAAAAACACAATTATGCAAGATTAGGTAGTAACTAGTTCAAAAGTTAAAAGTTAAATAACAAAATTAAAAAATTAATAACTTCTAACTAGATTTAGTTAAATTTTAAGTTCAACAGTTATTTTTAAAACACAAACTTTAGGTTATTAAGTTTATAACAACTTAAAAATTTTTCTATGTAAAAGAAAAGATTTTTTATATAAAAAAAAACTTTATTTTATTATAAACTCAAATTATAAATAAAATAATTTATTTTTAATCTATATAGTAATTATTTTTAATAATCTTAATTTTTAAAAATACAATATTTTAATTTAATATAAATAATGCTTTTTAAAATTAATTTTTAATTTAAATTAATTTAAACAGTTAACTAAGTTGGATGTTTATTTATGCAACTTATAATTAAATTAATTTTATAAGCCATAAATTTAGTTTAATTTAGTTTAAAAAATATTAACTTAATCAATTTTACAATGAATTATATATTATTCAAAGATTTATTTTTTTACCTTTTGGTGATAACTTTTTAAGAGACATTTTATCATTTCTTTTTTTTACAGTGTAGACCTTTTTTTTATTCAAATTTAACATTTTCGCTTTTAATGGATGAGAAACTTGAGTTTTTATAGCAGCAAGCTGCTCCCTGATAGTTTTTGGAGGGGCTGGAACATTGTATTTTTGACAGACTTCTTGACTCTTTTCTATATGTTCCTCGTTCTCCACACTTTCTAGCTCTCGATAAAATCCTCTTGCAGCTTGTCGTTTACGTTTTGTAGGTATATTTTCCGATTCCGAATTGTTATCATCAGAACTCTGAGTAAATCTGGCTGGAAGTTGACGCTTTCGCGGCTGCTCGTAATCAGTCTCTATGTTAGAGTCAATGGGTTTATCTTCGGCAGCCAGTATAGCAGCTTTACGAGCCAGATTAAAAGTTTCTGAAAGCACAAGAGAAAATAATAATTCAGTTTTCATTATCGAATCCAATCCAAAGTATAAAGATATAATAAAAATTACAATTAGACTACTTACTATAACTGTACAAAAATTCGATATTACATTCTTCCCAATCTTCTTGCGCTTCTACAAGAGCCATTACTAGTCTTGTAGGGAATTTCGTTTTAGTAGGATACACAACAGTTTCTTTAGATTTATCTAACCATTTAGTTGCAACTACGCATGTACCACCATCTGGCCAAACAACGACCAAAAACTGTTAACAAAAAATACATAAAGTTAAAATATAATATTAATAAATAAAATATAAAAAACGCACATCATAGAACACCATCTCTTTTAAGTCGCTTTCTTTTTAAGAATCTGTTTATAATTCTCCTTATGACACATTAACATTAAGGAAAATAGCATGCGGAAAAGTAAAACCATCAATTGTTTTAGCAGAATATAGTAACAGTTATTAGTGCTTCTGATTAATTTTGCTTCTTTTAGCTTAATGTTTCTTAGTTCTAATCCTAATCTTACAGCTAAAATTGTATTGCAATTAGTTTACTGAAATATCTCACCAGTACTTTATTGTTGTCCAATATGAACAAGTGGAATACATAAATAATCGTCAACGACAGGAATAAGAATACATTTTTGGAGGACCTGATTAAGAGACCAGACTTTTTCAATTTCCTCAAGTCGCGATACTTTACAAATGCCCATGTCTGTGGAATCGATAGGAAATGTAAAAAAATCACAAATGTTTTTAAATCTATATCCGTGTAAAAAAATTTGTGTGCCACGAAAAGGACGAGTAATTTTTGAGAGAATGACTATTTCGCCATTTTTGGACTGAAAACAACAATCAGCTTCTGATGTAGAAAGTGTCATTCCGTGCGTAGTCAATTTGAAATAAGTTTCTATTTCATCGCCTTCCTCATAATCGTCACAT